AGGAGACCGACGATGCGTCGGAGGTGGAAGAAGGCGAGAGAGTCAAGGGTGGAGGCAGAGAGAGAGAGTTGGGTGTCATTCACATACATGTGGAGGTTGACCCCATGTCTGTGGATGATGGTCACCACCAAGAGGGAGCAAATAGGACGGGACCAAGGACACAGCCCTGAGGAACGCCACACGAAACAGTGCGGGGGGCTAGAGGAGAAGCCGTTTGAGGCGATGAAGTGAAGACAGTGGTGAGAGGTAGGATCTGAACCAGTCAAAGACAGAGCCGTGGAGGTTAAGGTGGGAGGAGAGGCGGTGGAGGAGGATAGAGTGGTCAAAGGTATCGAAGGCAGCAGAGAGGTCGAGGACGAGAAGGCAGAGGGAGCTCTGATCGCAGATTGTCACTTTGACCAAGGCGGCTTCTATGCTGTGGGCGGCACGGAAACCCGATTGGAGGGGTTTGTGTAGGGAGAGCGGGAGAGGAAGGAGCGGAGCCGGGAAGCAACAACTCATTCCAGGACCTTGGAAAGGAAAGGGAGGTTGGAGATGGGGCTGTTGTTTGAAGGCAGGGAAGGGTCCACAAAGGTTTTTTTAAGGATAAGAGTGATGACGGCAGTTTTTAAAGGGGTGGGAACGGTGCCAGTGGACAGGGAGACGTTTATGATGTCTGTGAGTAGGGGGGCAAGAAGGTAGAGCTGGGAGGTAAGGGATGGGGTCGAGGGTGCAGGTGGTCAGTGTCATGTGGGTTACAGTGGTGAATCCCCTCAACTTTGGTTTCGAGGAAGTCTCGCTTCGCCCTGCAGTTGGCGTTGGAGGAGATGATGGACGAGACATGAGAGGGTGAGCGGAGGAGCCAGTTGGTGATGAAGAGGAGCCTGGGGTTGTCCTTGGCTTCCAAGATTGTCTTGGGAGTAGAACAAGGATTTAGTGGAAGCGAGGACGGAGCAGTATGATTTGATAAAGTCCAGCCAGATCTGCCGATGGACAGTAAAGTTGGATTTAAGTCAGGTGCATTCAGCGGCATGCATCTGCACCTTAAGGGAGCGGAGGTGGCTGGGTGCCATGGTGACTTACATGAGTAGAAGATGGTTCGGGAAATGAGAGGAGCAAGGGCATTCAGAGTGGCGGAGAGGGATTTGTGGAGGAGAGTGACCAAGAAGGATAGGTCGTTTCAGGAAGAAACCCAGAGGGGGAGGAGTTCGGATGACTCCAAGGCAGCGGAAGGGTGGGGGGAGATTTTTTTTCAGGGGGCGGTAGGAAATGGATGTGGGTTGGGTGGCGGTAGGGAGAGGGATTGAGGAGTTAAGGGAGATGAAATGATGGTCCGAGATGTCATCACTGAGAGGGAACAAATAAATGAGGAAAAGGAGGGGCCCAAGAATGGACCATTGGGGTGCACTGCAGGTGACCCAGTGGGGGCAGGAGAAGCCATTTGCAGAGATATAGTGTTGGGGGTGGGTCAACTGGGACTTGAAGCAGGAGAATGCAGTGCCACTGAGATGGATGAGTAAGGAGGAGGCAGGCAAAGGGGATGCAGCTCACTTAATACAATAAAAATTCTTGCATTCGATTTCACACCTTTCATGTCGGAAGGACATCTCAAGGGACTTCGACAGTATTTACTATAATATGTAGTGACTTTGTCTTTTGTAGGCTGCAAAATTTACACACAGCTATGACCCACAAATAACTATAAAGTAAATGACCAATTTTTTTGCCAATTTTTATCTGGGAGATTTTCGGCGAGGACAACGGGAGAAATTCCCTTCTCTTTAACATCCACCTGGACAGGCAGATGGGATCTCAGTTTACAACCTCATCCAAAAGACAAGAGCTCCAGCAATGCAATGCTGCTTTGGAGTGTCAGTCCAGACTTGTGAGTTCAATTGTCAAAAGAGGTTTGAACCCACAAGGCTCTGACTCAGAGGGGAAAGTGTACTGACCGAACACAGATGACACAACTATTCTAAAATTCCATTCCTAATCATATTGATGGTTGGTACAAGTTGCCCCACTGGAACTATCCACTCTCTCTCCCCATACCCTATTATATTCCTCTTCAAAGACAATGAACTTCTCACAGTGTTAGCCCTAAGCCTATAAGATCTCAAGATCACATGGAATTGTAGAATATTTTGAAAGAAGTTTTTATTTGGAATTGGTTTTCTGCTATTAACCAACAGCAGATTCCAAACAAAGACTTAACTTTCTACAGTTCAGCACCACCTTAAATTTTAAGTCTTGAGAATGAAGAATATTATACCTCAAATGTTTATAACCGTGTGTGAAAAGCTTTATTCTGATCTCTCCCTTAACTCCTCCAGTGCCAATCCTTTTTTATTCTTTTACCTGACTTTTGTTACCTATTCAACAAGTGGAGGATTAATCTTTCATTAGCAAAATCTTTCCAGTCTTTGAAGACCTCTTCAATCCTTTGTAAACTTCTCATTTCAACTGAAAACAGATGCATTTTTCAAATTTATCCTCAAACTACATCCCCTCCTCCTTGATACGGTTGGACCCTGTTATAACATGTAACTTTCAGGAAGCTGCAAACTGTTGTGAGCATTCCCAGCCATTGCCAGAGGACCTGTGGGCCGATCCTGGACCATACAGACTCCCACTGGATCCCTCATGTCACCTAATGTTCCACTTGCTCCTGTGGCTGTCGTGTCTTTTTTAGAAATTGAGTGCTCACAAATCACCAACTGCAGATTAACCGACCTCCTGTGAACGTTTAACATCACTTCCTCATTTTTATAGTTTGAATTCCACTGGGATTAAATATATCAAGACGTCCCTTTTTACCGTGCTTTCCCCTCCCCCCTTCAGCTCCCACCCGCAGCTTCAGTACCCAGCCAGCAATATGAAGTGCTTTGAGACATCTTCCCGATGTGAAAGGCACTGTGTAAATGTAAATGTTTAAATCCAGAGAAACATAAAAAGCACACGAGAGAGAGAGACAGAGCGAGGCGGCACACACAGAGACACAGGGAGAGACAGAGAGAGAGAGGCGGCACACACAGGGACACAGGGAGAGACAGAGAGAGAGAGAGGCGGCACACACAGGGACACAGGGAGAGACAGAGAGAGAGAGAGAGAGAGAGAGGCGGCACACACAGAGACACAGGGAGAGACAGAGAGAGAGAGAGAGAGAGGCGGCACACACAGAGACACAGGGAGAGACAGAGAGAGAGAGGCGGCACACACAGGGACACAGGGAGAGACAGAGAGAGAGAGAGAGAGAGGCGGCACACACAGAGACACGGAGAGACAGAGAGAGAGAGAGAGAGAGACGGCACACACAGAGACACAGGGAGAGACAGAGAGAGAAGAGAGAGAGAGAGAGGCGGCACACACAGAGACACAGGGAGAGACAGAGAGAGAGAGAGAGAGAGAGAGAGAGGCGGCACACACAGAGACACAGGGAGAGACAGAGAGAGAGAGGCAGCACACACAGGGACACAGGGAGAGACAGAGAGAGAGAGAGAGAGGCGGCACACACAGGGACACAGGGAGAGACAGAGAGAGAGAGAGAGAGAGAGAGGCGGCACACACAGGGACACAGGGAGAGACAGAGAGAGAGAGAGAGGCGGCACACACAGGGACACAGGGAGAGACAGAGAGAGAGAGAGAGAGAGAGAGAGGCGGCCACACACGGGACACAGGGAGAGACAGAGAGAGAGAGAGAGGCGGCACACACAGGGACACAGGGAGAACAGAGAGAGAGAGAGAGAGGCGGCACACACAGGGACACAGGGAGAGACAGAGAGAGAGACAGAGAGAGAGAGAAACAGAGAGAGGCGGCACACACAGAGACAGAGAGAGACAGAGAGAGAGAGACAGAGAGAGGCAGCACACACAGAGACAGAGAGAGAGAGAGGCGGCACACACGGAGACAGAGAGAGACAGACAGAGAGAGAGGCGGCACACACAGAGACAGAGAGAGAGAGAGGCGGCACACACAGAGACACAGAGAGAGACAGAGACACAGAGACAGAGAGAGACAGAGAGAGAGAGAGGCGGCACACACGGAGACAGAGAGAGAGAGAGGCGGCACACACAGAGACACAGAGAGAGACAGAGACACGGAGACAGAGAGAGACAGAGAGAGAGAGAGGCGGCACACACAGAGACACAGAGAGAGACAGAGAGAGAGAGACAGAGAGAGAGAGAGAGAGAGGCGGCACACACAGACACAGGGAGAGACAGAGAGAGAGAGAGAGAGAGGCGGCACACACAGACACAGGGAGAGACAGAGAGAGAGAGGGAGAGAGAAAACAGAGAGAGAAAATCGAAGAGAGAGATATAAACAGAGAGAGAGAGAGAGGAATAAAGAGAAACAGAGGGACCGCACTATTGTTTTCGGGTTTCCAAGTCTGGAGTAGTTTGTTCACTCAATCCGCGGCTGTTTGTGGGACAGACGCCGCTGTGCACAATTGTCTGCTGCGTTTTACCCACAAAATACACAGTTACTACACTTTACAGTGTATCCTGTGAAGCGCTTTGGGACGCGGTGAAGCTGTGATGAGCCGCTGTGCGATTATTGTTATTAATAATAATATAATAATAATAATTAAAGCCACAATGTGAGGAATCTGTTTCATCCCAAATCGCTGATTGAGCCGTGACCGTCACTTCCCAAACCCCAGACTGTCCCGGGACCCCCCCCCCCCGCACCCCGGGACCCCCCCCGCACCCCGGGACCCCCCCCGCACCCCGGGACCCCCCCGCACCCCGCCCCGCACCCCGGGACCCCCCCGCACCCCGCCCCGCACCCCGGGACCCCCCCGCACCCCGCCCCCGCACCCCGGGACCCCCCCGCACCCCGGGACCCCCCCCGCACCCCGGGACCCCCCCGGACCCCCCCCCCGCACCCCGGGACCCCCCCCGCACCCCGACCCGGGACCCCCCCCGCACCCCTCCCCGGGCCCCCTCAGCCCCGGGGGGAGGGGGGGTCCGGGGGGGGGGGGGGGGTCCGGGGGCGCAGTGACCGAGTGCCGAGTCCTCACCGCTGCGCTTTGCACACATTTCGGCCGCGGGTTCGGAGCTCCGGGTCTCCGGTCGCCGCCGCCGCCGCCACCACCACCACCAGCACAGCCCACACACCGCCTCTGCGCCGCTCCATCGCACACACTCCGCGCTCAGCATTCCTCCCGGAAAGGCAACTTCATCCGCCCGCCCCGCCCCGGCCCGTCTGGCCCGCCCGGCCCGCGAGCAGCGCAGCTCAGCGCCGCCGCGATCTCACAAGGAATGTGCGGAGGGTGGGGGTGTCTGTGTGTGTGTCTGTGGGGGTGTGTGGGTGTGAGTGGGGGGTGTGTGGGGGTGGGGGGGGTGTGTGTGGGTGGGGGTGTGTAGGAGTGTGTGTGGGGATGTGTGTGGGTGGGTGTGGGGGTGTAGGTTTGGGGGGGTTGTGGGTGGGTGTGTGTGTGTGTGTGTGTGGGGGTGTGGGTGGGTGTTGTGGGTGTGGGGGTAGGGGGTGGGGGGCTGGGTGTGGGGTTGTGTGTGTGGAGGGGGGGTGAGTGGGGGTGTGTGTGTGTAGGGGTGGGGGTGGTGGGGGTGGGAGTGTGTGTGGGGGGTTGTGCGGGGTGGGGTGGTGGGGGTGGGAGTGTGTGGGTGTGTGGTGGGGTTTTGTGAGTGGGGGTGTGTGGGGGCGGGGTGGGAGTGTGGGTGTGTGTGGGTGAGGGGGGGCTGTGTGTGTGGGGATGTGGGTGGGGCTGTGTGTGGGGTGTGCGTGTGTGTGGTTACGGTGTGGGTACGGTGTAGTTGCGGTGTAATTACGGTGTAGTTACGGTATGGTTGCGGTGTGGTTACAGTGTAGTTACGGTGTAGTTACGGCGGTTGCAGTGTGGTTACGGTGTGGCTATGGTGTGGTTACGGTGTAGTTGCAGTGTGGTTACGGTGTGGCTATGGTGTGGTTACGGTGTAGTTACGGTGCGGTTGCGGTGCGGTTGAGGTGCGGTTGCGGTTGAGGTGCGGTTGGGGTGCGGTTGAGGTGCGGTTGAGGTGCGGTTGGGGTGTGGTTGAGGTGCGGTTGAGGTGCGGTTGAGGTGCGGTTGGGGTGTGGTTGAGGTGCGGTGCGGTTGAGGTGCGGTTGAGGTGCGGTTGAGGTGCGGTTGAGGTGCGGTTGAGGTGCGGTTGAGGTGCGGTTGCGGTTGCGCAGCTGTAGCTTCGAAGTTGGTTTTTGGAGACTGCGGCTGAACTTGTCCTTTCTCGGTGTGGGGCGGGGCCTGTGGGGCGGGGCCTGTGGTGGGGGCCATGGGGCGGGGCCGGGGAATGTCACTTTAATCGAAAATAATAAACCCTCCCAGGTTTATAAACTGTGGTGACGCCTCGTGGCGCCCGGTGTCAGCGCTCAGCCCTCCCGGTGTCAGCGCTCAGCCCTCCCGGTGTCAGCGCTCAGCCCTCCCGGTGTCAGCGCTCAGCCCTCCCGGTGTCAGCGCTCAGCCTCCCGGTGTCAGCGCTCAGCCCTCCCGGTGTCAGCGCTCAGCCCTCCCGGTGTCAGCGCTCAGCCCTCCCGGTGTCAGCGCTCAGCCCTCCCGGTGTCAGCGCTCAGCCCTCCCGTGTCAGCGCTCAGCCCTCCCGGTGTCAGCGCTCAGCCCTCCCGGTGTCAGCGCTCAGCCCTCCCGGTGTCAGCGCTCAGCCCTCCCGGTGTCAGCGCTCAGCCCTCCCGGTGTCAGCGCTCAGCCCTCCCGGTGTCAGCGCTCAGCCCTCCCGGTGTCAGCGCTCAGCCCTCCCGGCGCCCACTCCCTCACAATGCTCACCTGGTCCGGACAGAGGCATCCGAGGTTACTGAGGGAAGGAAGGGTGGAAGTAGCAGAGGTTCTGACCACAATCTTTCAATCCTGTTTGGGCACTGGAGTGGTCCCAGAGGACTGGAGAGTGGCAAATGTGACTCCCTGTACAAAAAGGGGCAGAAGGATAAACCTGAGAACTACCGGCCAGTGCCTAACGTCAGTAGGAGGGAAACTCCTGGAGACTATAATCCGGGACACCATAAATTCTCACTTAGAAAAACATGGTTTAATAAAGGACAGTCAACACGGGTTTGTTAAAAGCAAATCATGTCTAACAAACCTGATAGAGGTTTTGATGCAGTAACGGAGAGGGGCGATGAAGGCAGTGCAGGTGATGTAATGATACTAAAATAGGAAAGGTAATAACCAGTGAGGAGGATAGTAACAGACTGCAAGTGGACATAGACAGACTGTTTACATGGGCAGACACGGGGCAGATTAAGTTTAATGTGGAAAAATGCAAAAAAAGCATACGGGATACTCGGCTTTATAAATAGGGGCATAGAATACAAAAGTCATGAAGTTATGATGAACCTTTATATAAAATACTGGTTAGGCCTCAGTGAGAGACTGTGTTCAGTTCTGGGCCCCACACTTTAGGAAGGATGTCAAGGCCTTGGAGAGGTGCAGAGGGGATTGACCAGAATGGTACCAGGAATGAGGGGCTTCAGTTATCAGGAGAGGCAGAGAAGTGAGGATTATTCTCCTTGGAGCAGAGAAGGTTAAGAGGAGACTTAATAGAAGTTTTCAAAATGATGAGGGGATTTGATCGGGTGAACAGGAGAAACTATTCCCACTGGCGGGTGGGTCGGTAACCCCAGGACACCGATTTAAAATAGTTGTTAAAAGAAACAGAGGGGAGGGGAGGAGAAATGTTTTCACAGCGAGTTGTTGGGATCTGGAATGCATTGCCTGAGAGCCTGGTGGCAGCCGATTTTATAACAACTTTTAAGAGAGAACAAGATAATTATTTGGTGACAAGTTTGCAGGGCTATGGGGAGAGAGCGGGGAAGTGGGGTTGATCAGGGCTATGGGGAGAGGGCGGGGGAGTGGGGTTGATCAGAGCTATGGGGAGAGCGGGGGAGTGGGGTTGATCAGGGCTATGGGGAGAGAGCGGGGGGGTGGGGTTGATCAGGGCTATGGGGAGAGAGCGGGGGAGTGGGGTTGATCAGGGCTATGGGGAGAGAGCGGGGGAGGGGTTGTTCAGGGCTATGTGGAGGGAGTGGGGGAGTGGGGTTGATCAGGTCGATGGGGAGAGAGCGGGGAAGTGGGGTGGATCAGGGCTATGGGGGGAGTGGAGTTGTTCAGGGCTATGGGGGAGAGCGGGGGAGTGGGGTTGATCAGGGCTGTGGGTATAGAGCGGGGGAGTGGGGTTGATCAGGGCTGTGGGGAGAGAGCGGGGGAGTGGGGTTGATCAGGGCTATGGGGGGAGAGCGGGGGAGTGGGGTTGATCAGGGCTGTGGGTATAGAGCGGGGGAGTGGGGTTGATCAGGGCTGTGGGGAGAGAGCGGGGGAGTGGGGTTGATCAGGGCTATGGGGGGAGAGTGGGGGAGTGGGGTTGATCAGTGCTGTGGGGAGAGAGAAGGGTAATGGGGTTGATCAAGGCATTGGGGAGAGAGAGAGGGAGTGGCGTTGATCAGGGCTGTGAAGAGAGAGCGGGAGCGTGGGGTTGATCAGGGCTTTGGGGAGAGAGCGGTGGAGTGGGGTTGATCAGGGCTGTGGGGAGAGAGAGGGGTAATGGGGTTGACCAGGGTTGTGAGGAGAGAGAGGGCGATTGCAGTTGATCAGCGCTATGGGGGGAGAGCGGGGGAGTGGGGTTGATCAGGGTTATGGGGTGACAGCGGGGGAGTGGGATTTATCAGGGCTATGGGGGAGAGTGCGGCGGAGTGGGGTTGATCAGTGCTGTGGGGAGAGAGAGGTAATGGTGTTGATCAGAGCTACGGGGAGAGAGCGGGGGAGTGGGGTTGATGAGTGCTGTGGGGAGAGAGAGGGGGAGTGGGGTTGATCAGCTCTATGGGGAGAGAGTGGGGGAGTAGGTTTGATCAGGGCTATGGGGAGAAAGAGGGAGTGGGATTGATTAGGGCTATGGGAAGAGAGCGTTGGAGTGGGTTTGATCGGGGCTGTGGGGGGAGAGCGGTGGAGTGGGATTGATGAGTGCTGTGGGGGGAGAGTGGAGAGTGGGTTGATCAGGACTATAGGGTGAGAGCGTAGAGTGGGGTTGATCAGTGCTTTGGGGAGAGAGAGAGGGAGTGGGGTTGACCAGGGCAATGGGGAGAGAGCGGGAGAGTGGAGTTGATCGGCAATGGGGAGAAAGCAGAGGAGTGGGGTTGATTAGGGCTGTGGGGAGAGAGTGGAGGAGTGGGATTGATGAGTGCTGTGGGGAGAGAGTGGAGGAGTGGGATTGATGAGTGCTGTGGGGGGAGAGTGGAGAGTGGGTTGATCAGGACTATAGGGTGAGAGCGGAGAGTGGGGTTGATCAGTGCTGTGGGGAGAGAGCGGGGGAGTGGGGTTGATTAGGGCTATGGGGAGAGAGAGGGGGAGTGGGGTTGATTAGGGCTATGGGGAGAGAGAGGGGGAGTGGGGTTGACCAGGGCAATGGGGAGAGAGAGGGGTAATGGAGTTGATCAGGTCGATGGGGAGAGAGAGGGGGAGTGCGGTTCATCAGTGCTGTGGGGAGAGAGAGGGGGAGTGCGGTTGATCAGGGCTGTGGGGAGAGAGAGGGGGAGTGGGGTTGATCAGTGCTGTGGGGAGAGAGAGGGGGAGAGCAGTTAATCAGTACTGTGGGGAGAGAGAGGGGGAGTGCGGTTGATCAGGGCTATGGGGAGAGAGAGGGGGAGTGGGGTTGATCAGTGCTGTGGGGAGAGAGAGGGGGAGTGCAGTTGATCAGGGCTATGGGGAGAGTGAGGGGGAGTGGGGTTGATCAGGGCTGTGGGGAGAGAGCGGGGGAGTGGGGTTGATCAGGGCTATGGGGAGATAGCAGGGGAGTGGGGTTGTTCAGGATATGGGAGGAGAGAGGGGTAATGGGGTTGATCAGGGTTGTGAGGAGAGAGAGGGGGATTGCGGTTGATAATAATAATAATAATAATAATCCTTGCATTTGATATAGCGCTTTTCACGTCGGGAGGACGTCCCAAAGCGCTTCACAGAACACACTGTAAAGTGAATTGACTGTATATTTGTGGGCGAACGCGGCAGCCAATTGCGCACAGCAATGTCCCACAAACAGTCGTAGATTGAAAATGACCAATTTATTATTGTTTTTGGTTTTGGAGGATTATTATTAGGCTCT